ATAAGTACATAGGAAGAGAATGCCTCCTACTGCCCTCTATGCGCATCTATACAGTGCTTCAGAGTGGAGAGGGGGACATTTTAATTAAAGCAGCGTGGGGCAGTGGAGGGCAGCAGGGATTGGCCCCTCCCTGCCAGGCAGCACCCAGTAAGTGGGAGCTTTTTTTTTAAAGGGCCAGGAGCTGGGGCTGGGTGAAGCAGCCATGGGCAGGGCTAGGGAAGTGCGCAGGGATTGGGGGTGGCTAGAGGAGCAGTACTACAAGAGAAAGAAACATAAAGGGGAAAGACATTAGCCTCCAGGCACTGCTTCAGCTCCTCGTTGCCATCAGAAGTTGGATGGCTGTTGCCAAGTGCAGGTAATCTCAACAAGTCACAGCAGAGTCATGATAGTAGCTGAATGTATATTTGAAGCAAGGTTAACTGTCCTCTTGTTACTAATACTGTGTCCCACTTTCCTGAAAGCTTTTAATTAATACACAAATCCACAAAGGGCCAGATACGGTCATTGCATGCACCTGTGCAATTCCGCTATGGTAATAGGGTTGTACAGAGTATAATTGATTTAGTCCAGTACCTTCAATAGAAATCTCAATCCAGCATCAAAGAGCAGAAGACAGTCTAACTTTTTAAGGTAGATTTACTTCTGGATGCATTTCTAAAACTGACTAGCACTTTCAGAGTGCCCTATTCTACAGCATGTGCTAGTCCCATAAAAGGTCTAAGATGGGATCCATCCTGGTGAGCTCTAATCTCACGTATTCCAAAACCTGACTGAAAACAAGAAAGGAATATTACTAGAACATTATATTAGCCCAGGGCTATCCAACGGGTGGCATGCAGCCCACGAGGGTTTAAGACATGGTCCCTGGGCTTCCACCTGGCTTCCTCTTTACACATTGCTCTTGTGGCAATGGCTGGAGTCTCTGGGCTCCCCCTCCGTCTTCTGGCTTCTGGTGTCTTCCCCTGCTTCTAGGGGTGGGGTTGCACTGTTGCCTGTGTTGCATGGACAGCAGGGAATGTTGCTGGGTTGCACATGCTGTGTGCTCAGCAAAGAAAGGAGTCAAGCTGCCCATGCTGCATGCTGTAGGTGGGTTACCTGTATGATGTACAGCACTGGGAGGTGGGGTAAGGATGCTGTGTGCCTGGCAGGGGGGAATCAGGCTGCCCGTATGGCATTTATGGCTAGAAAAAAGATCTTTGCACGTGGTGCAGGGGGGAGCTGGGCTGTGTGTTTGGCAGGGGCTTGAGGGAGGCAGCCCCCATGGCATGTGGCCTCTGTGTCTCCAGTCCACAATGTATGAGGCCCCCAGCTGTTCAGAAGTTGGATAGCTTTGTATTAACTAATCAGGGAAAACTGTTGTCCACAAGATTTTGTTTGTCCACTGACTGCACCACTGATCGACACTATAGCAACATACAGTCGGTGTCATGCCAGAAAGTCGAGAATTAAAAGCTGGGAGATGTACACAATGCAGATCCGTGAACATAATCCCTATCCTTAAAGCTTTGTATCCTAGAGGCATAATAAGTGCATATTTGTGTCTCTGATATGCTGAGAGCTTTTAGTGTTGTCCCTGGGCATTTGTAAGTCATCAGGTAGATAAGAACTGGAGAGGTTGTACTGTTTAAAATAGTTAAGGCTGAGATGCCAAATAATTGCCTGGTTACTTTATGGTAACAAATGTATATTGAGAACATTGATTGGTATCACGGGTGACCTTGCAACCCTGGACACCTGTAAAGTAAGTGTTCCCAGGATTTCTGTTCTGATATAAATACAATTTTATTGGTGTGAGAATCTTCTCTGAATCTCAGTGCACTAGATTATTTTCTGTATAATTTTCATATAAGAGTTATCTGGTTTTCACAATATTTGGTTTCTCTCATATGGTATACATGATAGCCTGGGGTATGAAGATTTTGGGATATCTCACCCTATCTGAGTCATTCTGAAACTCATGCTGAGAAACGCCTTAAATTCTAGCATCCTCTCTGTATATGCCATTTATCTGTAGAAACAATATTTTGGGAAAGTTTTAAGGAACTGAGAGGGGAAAAAAGCAGAGAACAATTTTTGTGTCCTTTCTTCTGTAAAGTTAAGTGAGTTAATCATCACAGTTCCAAATGCGCAGCCCTCAGAGAGAGTGCCAAAGACCTTTTACAATGCTCTAAAAGTTTTCCTATCTGTTCCAATGTCATGATTCTAATATCCAATTTCTCAAGACCTTCTAGAGGTAGAAGCAAGAGCTGTGTGTCACATCGGGAAGCTCTCTCTTCCAGTGGCATAAAGCTGCTAACATAACAGGGTTACAAGATATCAGGACTTAAACTCATCACTGAATCTGGTCCATCCTGAGCCTCAGGCAAGTGTAATTTTGGAGCAGCACAAAAGGGCCATATCAGGGGGCCAAAATCTGGTCTGTTGGCAGCAATAAAAATAAACATAATAGCACTCTCATGTATAACCGTGGTTCAAAAAGCCAAGGGGTTCTTGTAATCAAGGTCATTGGCGAGGTGTATCCCAGACTAGCTGATCCGTGGTATATCATGTTTGCAGAATTGGTTATATTGTACAATTTATGTTTTCATGATTCCCATTTCAGTCTTTTTTCTTCTGCTTTAAATATAAATACCTTCTTCTTTCCTGTCCTGTGAGATAGATCTATCTATATATCTAAAGAGAGAGAGCGCATGCACATGTAATAATGCCTTCTGCTTTAGCAGTAAGGCAACAGAAGCAGGAAGAAGTTTAGTAGCTAGCCTGTCGAAGCAGTGAAGGCACTTGGCTGCAGTTCGTAATTCTCCAGAGATATAATTATCACATGCTTGATGACTAAAACATCTGTCACATCTGTTTTGCTTAAATAAAGGTTCCTTAAATGCCACACTGCTCCCTTAGCATGGAGCAGAAGTGACACTCACATTCAGCCAGTGAGGTCACCCAGGGACTTTAAACTTCCTCTCTTTCACCTTCCATCTTGACTCCTTTCTTCTCCATTCTCCTCTCTTGCTATTCCCTGCTCTACCCTATAAATGACCTCTCCATTTCTCTTTTTCTATGTATTTATCTCACCTGCTGCTTTCTTCCTCTTTTCATTCATCTCTGATCTGTGCCTTGCTCCTCTGTCTCCTGCTGTACATTCATTAATTCAGATTTGGTTTAAAGATGAACATTCATTAAACACTGTATGGTCTGGAGAGATGGCTTTTCAAAACAATCATAGCATTTAGAAAAATCATATTATTAAGGGTATCTTCTGTAGGTGCCTAACTCTCCTGTCTACTTTATAGCTCCAATTGTCTCCAATAGCATAATTTATTACTATGTTTAGGTGATTTTCTCTTTCCATTTTTTATCAAGGGTATCTGTGCTGCAGTCCAATATTCTTAACCACTCTGCAGCCTGGTAGACTGACTGCATGCGACACAGCAGGAGAGATGTATTCAATACAAAGGATTTTTCTTTATTTCAGCCATCTTCTGAGGAAATGTTCCTCCTTCTCAAGTTCATTCTCCGTAAGAAAACAGATCCATTGCTGATTAGGTATCGGCAACAGGTTTCTCCACAACAGGATCAAAGCTGTGCTACTGGAAGCATGGCCATGAAGTGTAGCACATCTTGTCTGCATGTGTGCCAGTCTGTGTTTTGAGGCTACACCTCAAAACAGTACCCAGTGCTTCTACGACATCATTTCAGGGTGACAGCATGTGTCCTATGGGCACTTGAACACCACCACAAAAAGTGGGATGAGATTGATTCTCATCTCAGGTGTTTCATAAGCAACCCAACACCCTACCCCCTAGGTATGAGCTTCCCTGCAACTTATGGATTAAACTAAACAGGATTTCCTCTGCAGCTGGAAACTTTAATGCCACACTGTGTAAGATTGGCTTAAAGGACAGTCCAATATGTGAGTGTGGTGTTGCTCCATAGACTGCTGACCACTTCCTCGTGTGTTCAGCACACCCATGCACACAGGATGAGGACCTGGCAAACCTCAGTGATGAAGCAGTTTTGTGGCTTCACCTCATTAATGATGCGTAGAGGGGAAGTGAAGTCTACAACAGAAGAAGAGCATGTGCAGAGCAGAGCAGTAACTAGTGTTAGTCAGTACAGTCCTCATGATGTATAGCCATGCCCTTAAATCTAAAGCTAGCTTGACAATGGCCTGATTTTCAGGGATGCTGAGCATTCATGAATCACACTTCAGTCAACAGAAACTGTAGGTGCTCAGCCCCTTTTTAAATCAGAGTGCTTCAAGAAGCTAAGTGTGACTGTAGGTGCCCCATTTTTTGCAAGTTGGTCATAACCATCCTGTGCCTCAGCTGCAAGGTAAAGAAAATTAATTGCCCACTTTGGAAGACTACTTTTTGATCCCCAGGTAGAAGCTAGCAGGTGAAGGCAAAGTGTGTGTGTGTGTACATAAATATTTTTCAATCATAAATTTCATATGAAAGTAGGATACAGAGAATGATCACATTTGAAAAAAACAGATGGTCACATATGAAGGCAGGTTTCTAGTGATTCATAGCATCACAATAACACAGAAGCACAGTTTTGTTAATATTGTAAAATTTGGGATTCTGTCAACCACTTGGAACCCACTCTCACCCCACTATCTTACTAATGACAAAGCACAATTTAGCTGTCAGGGGAACCCATGTACCTGGACTGAGTTCCAGTTTTCTAGGGGGAGAATGGTATCCACAGGGAATCCATTGTCCTTATACCTGTTTCTTTCCATTGCTTGTCTCGTGAGGATCTAGTTTGAAGTTGGCTTTGTGACATTGACAATAACTATTCTTTTCCAGGCATCGGATCTCCAAATCTAAGTTTAGGTGAGTAAAACTCAGCTTTATGTTTTTCTCCCATCCTCACTGGTTTTGCATTTGACCTTTATCAAACTATCCATCCCTGTCACCGCAGTACACCAATGGCTCTAGAACAACAGCTCTCAACCATCCTAGATCCAAGGTGCCCCTTGTTAGATTCAAGGCACCTGTCAGAAAATGCCAGTTTTTAGCTTTCACTCATTTAATGACCATAAAAAAAAAGAAATCAATTCTTGTGTTGCAAAGAGCTCAGAAAGCCCACAACAGGTCATAATGTTTTTGACATTAACGATTCCTATTTGAAATCTCTGTGTTTATCTTGTGAATCATACAGGTGTTTGCATACTTAACAGCACTAGTCTTGTGCAGCACCCTTAAAAGGATCTCTCAGCACTCTGGGCTGTCATGACACCCTGGTTGAGAACCACTGCTCTAGGACATACTCACAAATTTGATATACTTTAAGCCAAAATATGTAGCCATATTTCTGAATATTAGGGTGAAAACAAGGAGCAAGGTTTGGAAAGAGTGCTTAAAATGTCCTATTTGCTGAGGTATTGAGTTAGTCCTTGACTCCTTGGTAAATGCACATTTCAAATCATAAAATTATAAAAGATTAGTTAGATAATCTACAGATACTCAGCCCACTAACAGGTGAGTGTAAGGTCTGATTTTCCACAGCACACTTTATAGTTGTGTTCTGTCTCTTAAGCAATTAAGTTTCTGCATTGAATTTGGCAGTGTCCCTTCAATAGAAACAGCTGGAATATGTTTCCTTTAGTAACAGGACCTGTGGAGCTTTTCTGCAAGATATTTGATTCTCAGTTAATTTATTAGCTTTTAAAAAGATATGGCACACCCAGGCTGCCCATATACACTTTTCCACTGGAAGAACTGACTCCAGCATAGTTAAATACTTGCTCATGTGGAAATGTTTGAGAGGTTTCCAGTCAATTTTTCTCTCATGTGTTCAACACAGTCCTCATAGCTTTTTAATTCAAAGTCCACCATTAGAGCGCTTTAAGAAGTGCCTTGGATTTGGCATTGTCTGGCCCAGGAAAACTGTTGTTTTCCTCAACATATATAAGATATGAATAAAAATGTGCATGGTCTTATTTTATTACCACATGTGTATATACTAGATATGGACATGTGCAAATATAGACATGCATACAAGAATAGATATATACTGTATGTGTAGGCAGACGTATGTATGCACACAGGAAAGCATAAAAAACCATACATATGTATACATGCATGTATACTTGCACATGCATACTCATGCATGAACCAGCACATATATATGTATGTATTCATTCACACATTTTGAATGGAAAGAAAATGGGAAATTAAATTCATGTCATGAATTCTCCCTGAACCTTACAGATTCACTTATGATGAGTCAAAAATAACTATCATTCAAGTGTTACAATAATTTTCTCAAAATGTTTTAAAAGAACATCATTTTCTTCTACTGTAGCACATGCAAAACCAAGTTAAATACCAGTGCCACAAAGACTAAATATCCTTATAGCTTACCCAACTAACAAAGATTTAGACTTAAGAACATGATAAAATTTTGCTTTAAGAGTCTCAAGCCATCCTGGAGGAGTCACATCATCTGGTCCTATTGTGATCAGACGCAGAACTGTGACCTACAGCATGGTCACTACTTGTTACTGATCAGAGAACAAGACAGGAGTAGCCACAGAAATTTTCCCTCCCACTTTGTCATGAAGTATTGTGTGTGTGTCTATATATACTATATCTGTATAAAACTATTAGATTTATTATACAGTGGCAAGTGTTGCCTGGAAACTGGTTGCTAAGCAAGTTAAATTTTGAAGAGTAGGAGGTATATAATTAGCTTTAAATATCTTCTGTGGTTAGTAATTACCCTCAGAATCAGTGCTCATGGAAGGCAAATTTTAAAGGGGTCCTGTTTAATATCAAACGTATCCTTACTTCCTGGTGGAAGGCAGAGATGCTGCGATCCCCCTAAGTGTTGTTTGCTCATGTTGGACACAATCCTGGTAAGTGCTAAACGCATGAAACTCCCATTGACTTTGCTGAACATCAGAAGCACACAACACTTCTTCTAGACCCTGATTTGAGGTCAGTCCATTACAGGAAATGAAATTCTTTCTGATGTCTTCAGTGGCCACTGAATCAGGCCCAGCATAAGATTAACAGTTTTAAATAAAAGAAAAAGAACTGTTTCTTTGGAAACAGTTCAGTAAGGGCTAAAATAAATCTCTAGTTAGTGGAAGTGTAGGCTTAATGATCATAATCAGCACATCTCTCCTCTCACCGAGACTTATTGGCCAGAAGGAGTGATTGCAAATTTTTTTAGGACCTTTTTTTGTTCAGATAGTTGTGCTCCTCCTTGCAGTACCTATCAATTCAAGTGAATACCAATGGAGACACTCTCCCAGAATGAACATGAAAGTCCTATTCTCCCACCACTTGCGGATCTGTGATATGGCTGAATGAAAGGTGAAGGGTTTAACTGAGGGATTTTCCTCCTAATTGCCATTTTTAATCACTTTTTCTTTCTTGCTTTTCAAGCCGGTACTGGCGCCGGTGGAACCGGTTCTGCAGGAGAAAGTGTCGAGCTGCTGTCAAGTCCACTGTTTTCTATTGGCTGGTGATTTTCCTTGTGTTCCTCAACACTCTCACCATCGCCTCTGAACACTACCACCAGTCGAACTGGCTCACTGAGGTCCAAGGTAAGATGAGGCATGTGGTTCCACTTGCTGTCCAAATAATCGGTCAGTAATGAGCAAGCCTACAGAGAAGGAAAACAAAAAAGATACATTAATGTCTTGTGGCCTATTAGTAAAAATCCCATCCTTCAAATGCAAACAAAAATACAATCCTTCATTTGTGGAGGATTTTAGACAAGTGAATACAAGTGCATACATGATTGCACAAGGAGTCTTCAGAGAATACTTAGGGCCCAGCTGTGTACTAGCTACATGTTCTGTAGGTCCTGTCAAAGTCACCATGTCAGGAGCTTACATTGTATTTGTATGTGCTGCTCTTGGTTACTAAAGGGCTCAATTTCTCCAGGTCATCACCTGAATAGCATTTGTGATACATTCTGGTTACAAGGCAGGTAAGGAAGGAACAATTATTTGTAAAGTTCCTCTTTGTCTAAAATTTAAGCAGCTGAATCCTCAATGCGGTGAGGGCAGCTGAAAGGCTGAATTAAGGATCAGGAGATATTACAGCAGCCAATACTATATCCTGTACATCTGAAAATGACAAGTGTAACAGGAGGTTGCGCTTTAGAAAATACAGTCACTGTCACAGAGGTGGTGCAGTTGTGTAATACATGCATGTGGGAAGTGCTGTGGTTGATAAACGGGCATCTGTTCAAAACATTTTCATGCATGAATTGCCCAGACTTAGAGGATCACTTCTTTGGCTAAATACTGATATAATTCTTCTCTCTCTTTAGTTTGACTCCAGCTTTTTTACACTGGTGATGGATGGTGGTGTTTGTGCTTGTGGCCTTCTGATTAAATTTTGCTTATTATTCCTTTTTCTTTTTATGAGATACTGCCAATAAGGTGCTGCTAGCTCTTTTCACGGCAGAGATGCTACTGAAGATGTACAGCCTCGGTCTCCAGGCCTACTTTGTGTCTCTCTTCAACCGCTTTGACTGCTTTATTGTTTGTGGAGGAATCCTGGAAACCATTCTGGTGGAGACCAAGATAATGCCACCACTGGGCATCTCAGTGTTGCGATGTGTCCGACTCCTGAGAATATTTAAGATCACAAGGTACTTTTATCTTTATCAAAGGTCAGCCTTGGGGATGAAAAAGGGCTATCTCTAGGTGCTTTCTGGTCCATTCTTTCCTACCTTATTTATGCAAACTATTTCATCGTTCAAAGGGAATCCTAGTTTCTGCTCAGCTCTCTGCAGTGAGTACCTTTGGCCATGTAGGACCACAGTTTACGCATTGATTTTATCCCTCATATGCACACCATAAACCTATGGCACATGACTGAGAAAAATAGTCCCTTGTGTGGTGGGAATGAGGAGCTATACAGATTGGCCTCACATGAACCATAGGAGAAGCACCTGCCCAAGTGATACTCTGGTAACGCACATGAGAGGAGCAGCTGATGTCTTAACAAGGGAGGTTGAAATGTGGCAGGCTGGGTCTTTTAAGATGGCCAGTAAAGGAAAAGAATGGCCTTGTGCCATTTTCTGCTGCTTTATGGTGACTGAAGTGGGCCTGAAAGCTGCTTTCAATTAAAAAAAAATGGAGATGTCTCAGCCTCAGCCACAACAATGGGCAGGAAACGAGGGATCAGTATCAGCATGAGCAGCAACAAGGCAGAGGACTTGGCTGACTTCTGTCTGCCCCCCGCCCTGAAAGGAAGTGGGCCCAGCACCAATGAAAGCCACATTTCGGAGAGCCAAGACCTTCTCAAGGTTCAGTCCCTTCTCTTTTTCTTTCCTTCTTTCTCTCCCCCCTCTCCATAAAGGCACATGGCTTCCTATTGAACAATTTTGTCCGCTCTCACAATCAGTTACATAAGAATCAGTTCTCATGCTCCCCCTCTCCCAATGCACTCTCTGGTAATGCATGTTATGTCTGAGGTCACCTGATAGGGTACAGA